TGAAAAGTGGTTGAAATCGTTATTCCCAACCTTATACTGTGGACAATTCAAAATAGTGAAAATGGTTAAGAGAAGGTAGGTTTGTTATCATCAAAATATCAATTAAGTAATTAATTAATTAAAATTAATGAATATGAGATTAAGGGCCAAAAAACCAACAAAAAACGTTTAAATTTGATGAATTTGACACATATGTTTAGTAAAAAAACCAACATTTAACACTTTCATTTTCGGGTCATTTTCTAGTAATTTTCCATAGGTGTTTTCCTCCTTGAGACGAAGGTCTTTAAGTCATTCAGAAAAGTTATTTTCTCGTTTTAATATCTTACCAAATCCACTAAAGATTGTACTAAGCGTAAAATAAGGAAGAAAAAAACATGTAGCCCTGTCTATAATACACGACAATCCAAACTCTCTCGAGAAGACCCTAATGGAGACACTTAATTCATTATGTGAAAAAACTAAGTTACTTTCAATATTTTCAACGAAATTGTAAATAACATTCAAATTTGATGAATTTGACACATAGATTTAGTAAAAAAACCAACCTTAAACGCATTCATTTTCAGGCCATTTTCGAGCAATTTTCTATAGGTGTACCATTGACACTTTTTTCTTATTTGAGGCGAGGGTCATTAAGTCATATGTGAAAAAACTAAGTTACTTTCAATATTTATCAACAAAATTGGAAGGAACCTTCAAATTTTGTGAATTTAACACATGTTTATTAAAAAAAGCCAACCTTAAACACCTTCATTTTCTGGCCATTTTCGAGTCATTTTCATAGGTATATCATTTGCACTTTTTTTTCCTCTTTGAGACTAAGGTTATTAAGTTGTTCAGAAATTTTTTTTTCTCGTTTTAGTATCTTACCAAATCTACTAAATATTGTCCTATGTGTCAAATAAGGAAGAAAAAAACATGTAGTCATGTCTCTCTTGTCCCACGAGTCATTAGGAGGTAGTGTTACAACCTAAGAAGTAAGACATTCATTGTGTAGGCAAACAAGCTACCAAAATTAAAGAACAAAAAGGCAAACCCCTATGGCTAAAATTCAGAGTAGAGAACTCCTCAGAATTAGAGTCTTTACCAAATGTTGAGATAGCAGTACAGACTAAACCTCAACTTCTTAGAACTTAGAGAAAAACATATAATTACCTACTAGATTAAGAATGCAATGAGAGTCTACAAATAGGTCGTTTACTAAGTATTTTTATACTCACTCCTCTCTACATTTATGTTTTAAGGTGAGTGATGTGGTTGGTCGAGGTTGGGAGTGCCTGAGAGTTGCACTATCACAGAGGGGTGTCGACTCAAAGCATTAGTTTAGTCTGTATTTTCATGGGTTGTCATTTTTACACATTTTTTATTACGTTTTCATTCCCCATTTGTAAATAATTTGAACAACATCTGTTTGGTAATGTTTTCATTTTGGATTTTGATTATAAATGTTGTATGACTTTGATTGGCACAAAATTTTACTATATTTTTGCTTTCATTTGTTTGTTATTGTCTTGACTTTTAGTCACGGTCTCATGACAAGTCAATGTCATGGTACAATTTCTAGATGCATTGAATTTCACATGATTTGGGCATCCCTTCCAAATTTTTGGACCCCTTTCACATGGACATGGAACCACGTGAGAGAGTTCGCTAGCTAACCTCTCCTAGATGATGTTCAGACTAGCAAACATCATATTATCCCACCAAATCATTTTAAGGTAGCACCTCAATCCAAAACGTCAAACACTCACTGTGTAGACAAAGTAAGCTATTAAGTAAAAAAATAGAAAGGTTGAAAACCTGAACAAACCCCTAGGGCTAAAATTCAGAGCAGAAAATTGCTCGAAACTCCAAGGTCTTCTCAAATGCTAAAATAGTATAGAGACTAGGCCCGAACTTCTTAAAACCTAGAGAAAAAACTGTGGTTATACTAGGTTAAGAATGCAATGAGAATCTATAAGTATGAGTATTTTTATACTCACCTCTTTCTACAATTTCTTTTTAGAGATGAGTGATGTTACTAGTCGAGATGGGGAGTGTTCAAGAGCCGAGCTTTCACATAGGAGTGTCGACTCGAGACGTTAGTTTAGTCAATATTTTTATAAGTTGTCATTTATAGACCTTTTGTATTCCGTTCCCATTTCCCATTTTTAAATAATTTGAACCGCACATGATATGTGGAAATCACTAAAGGGAAGTAAGATTCGAATTACCTTGTTGATCGAATATTTCAAAGCAAGAACATTGTTTAAGATTCGAATCACTCCACAAGCAAGATCGATTATGTCTAGCTTGAATGATTTTTGTTGATCAAATATCTCAACGCAAGAACACTTGTTTGAGATTCGAATCACTCTACAAGCAAAATTGATCCGAGTTTGAATGATTCTACATGCAACATAAACTACATATAATTGCAAAGAAACTTAGTCATTAGCTAAATAGAGCACAAATGCTTTTTTTTACTATATTTTCCAAGTCTACTTACCAGTACAACATACATGATTTATATAGCCTCAAAATGAAATTATTAAAGGCATTCAAGAGTTGTAACATTTATACTTAAGGGCCATAATTAACCCTTATGTAATGGTAAATAAAAAGAAAATACAGTAATGAAATACAATAACTCTAAATTACTCTAAGTAATCCACCCCAAATTTATAACATGAAATTTCATTTTTTCTTCAAGGCATAAATTGAAATATCTTTTGATAATTTCAACAATATTTTCTTCCCATCTTCATTTAAGCATATTGTACGATTGATGTCTCTTGGTTCACATTAGCACATGTTTTGTAATGTTTTCGTTTTGGATTTTAACTATGGTGTTGTGTGACTTTGATTCGCGCACAATTTTAATGTATTTTTTCTTTCATTTGTTTGTTATTGTCTTGTTTTCTAAGTCACGGTTCAAAATTCAAAACCTTCAAAATTAGGAATACAAAAAATTAGCAAACTAAAGTAATTTTTTATATGCAAAAAGTTTAGAAATTAAAAGAAAAACCTATAGAGTGATCTACACATCATAATAAAATAAAATATGATGATATCGTTGAATTCTAGATAGAAAAAAATTAGAATATTACATAAATATGGGAGAAAATTCAAACCTATTTAAAACTTAAATATAATTTTTCAACCAAAGGGGTCTAAAATTTCTTACTTCTCATGACAAGTCAATGTCTGCACATGATTTGGGCATCCCCTTCAAACTTTTAGATGCATTGAATTGCTATAAAAGTTCGACTAACAATGACAAGTCAATATCGGCACATGATTGATTTAGGGATTTGAATGTTGAATGAAAAGTCAAAATAGTTTGAACGTTGTTCCTTGTGAATAAATTTATATAAATATCTTAATTACCGTCGTGTCAATTTTAATCTCGCACTATGCATTTCTACGTAAAAAGTAATTTTGAAAGTTAAAACGATCGAGGATATTTTTTAATAATTTAGTCCTTTAATAATGAGAACATAGAATTATAAAAGAAATCTATGCATGATTTTAAGTATAACATCTTGTTTTCAAATCTCTAAAAGTAGGTTGACAAAATTATTCAAACTTTTCAACCAAAAATTTAAGAAACCAAAGCATACTCACAACTTTAAGTGATGGGAAGACTATAATTGAAAGAGAAATGATAAAGTTTGAATTCAACACAAATGATGAGAAAATTAGAGAAAATGAGACGGAAAGAGCGTTCTCAAAAGTACAATGAGAACGAGAGTGCAGTTGGAGAGACAATTGATAGATTTAATGGGCGAGATTTGGTTCCAAATAAAATGGTTTTGGTCTAATTCCAAAGGTTCTATTTATCGAGATTGATATGACATATGTTTGACATGACGTGATATATGATATGATTGACATGCAATATGATGTATTGGTATAATGCACAACCCCAATATATGAATGGAAAGTTATGATAAAAACGATATGATATGAAGGAAAGTGGAAGGGATTGTTTTGCGTGATAATGAAAGAAAAATGTTGGGACCTCATGCATCGGGAAATACCCTCTTTTATGATGGTATAGACGCATGTGCTACAAGGCAAGAAAACAATCATTATGTTCATCATAATGCTGCAACGGTCGCTATTCCTAACGGGTGTCTGACAACAACAGCTCCAAAGAATGCTAGCCTGACCAAGAAAAGGGGGCCCAGGAGGTGTGCGAACCGACTGTTGGATCCATACTCGCACATGTGGGCCATGTGTGTAGAATAGTAAATACACATCCAATTACCCGCTTAGGTTAGTCGCCTAAAGAAATACGAAAATGAAATGATACGTCTCATTCATGATTGTATATGTTTGCATCTAACCCCAATAGTCGGATCACTTAGAGAAATACTCAAGTCACGTGCTACTTCTATTTCAGGTAAAAGCAAGGGCATCCTTGTATAGCTGACGAATCACAAGTCAAGACCATAGCACATGCATGCATAAGATAGTTGTATTTATGTTCTTAGACTCTAGGTTAGAATAGGGTGTTTTATTTTTAATATTTATTTATTTTATTAAGTATTTCGTTGTGTCATTTTAAATATATTTTCAAATACGCAAGTCCATGACAATGTTCTATGATAAAGTTTCAAATGATTATTTTTGTACAAAATGATTATGTTATGTATACCGTAGCAACTTTAGGTTATCAGAAATCTAGCGTCGTTACAATATGTAACGATTTTTTAAGAGGCTGGCTATCATCTAAAGGACGCTCATTGAGTCAACGATCGATTGCTCAGAGTCTTTCCTCACTTCGTCCTTAACGATCTCCTACTTTTCTTTGTGGAAAAAATAACAAAGATGTGGGGATCCCTTTGCAAATAGAATATAAAACAAGAAAGAAAATGTACAAGATAGGCCTAAGAGAGCCAACTTATTATTCAAATTGCATGACGTTTATCTTACGGCAACCAATTATCACCCATCACAGCCATATATATATATATATATATATCAATCCTTAGATCATCTAAAATCCTCAACCCAAACCCCAAAACTTCTTCAAACAAAGAAGAAAACTATGTTGAATTCAACCTCTTCCATTCGCCCTCTGCTACTTGCCTTACTTGCCTTTGTTCTATCAGTTTCGGTTTCAAACTCAGCTCTATTGGAGCAAAGTTTTCTTCAATGTCTCTCTGTCAATTCTCAACGAACCGTCCCACCCTTCTCGGTTTGTGCTCCAACCAATGCTTCATTCCTCCCGCTTCTTAAGTCGACTGCACAAAACCTCAGGTACTCGGATCCTTCGGTTCCGAAGCCCGAGTTTATCTTCACTCCATTGTACGACACTCATGTCCAAGCAGCTGTCGTTTGCTCAAAGAGCCTCCAAATACATCTTAGAGTGCGTAGCGGTGGTCATGACTACGAGGGTCTTTCTTATGTTTCTCAAATCGAAACTCCTTTCATTGTTGTCGACCTCGCCAAACTTCGGTCGGTTGAAGTGAATATCGAAGATAACACTGCGTGGGTTCAAGCTGGTGCAACGGTTGGTGAAGTTTACTATAGAATCTCAGAGAAAAGCAGTGTCCATGGCTTCCCTGCTGGCCTTTGCACTAGTTTAGGCATAGGTGGACACATAACAGGCGGTGCATATGGGTCCATGATGAGAAAATATGGCCTTGGAGCTGATAATGTCATTGATGCTCGGATCGTCGACGTTAATGGCAGAATTCTCGATCGAAAGGCTATGGGAGAGGACCATTTTTGGGCCATTAGAGGAGGTGCTGGAGGCAGCTTTGGGATTATTCTCTGGTGGAAGTTGCGGTTAGTTCCTGTTCCAGAAACTGTGACAGTCTTCACTGTTCCAAAGACCTTGGAGCAAGGTGCCACTCAAATCTTGTACAAATGGCAACAAATAGCAGACAAGTTAGATGAAGATCTATTCATTAGAGTCATAATACAAGTAAGCAGTGACAAAACCACAAAACAAAGAACCATTACAACTGCTTACAATGCTCTGTTTCTTGGAGATTCCAATAGGCTCCTCCAAGTTATGGGGGAAAGCTTCCCTGAATTGGGTTTGACATCAAAAGATTGTACTGAAACGAGCTGGATTAAATCAGTTCTTTATATAGCTGGAGAAGCACCAAGAACACCCCCTGAAGTTCTTCTACAAGGAAAGCCACAATTCAAGAGCTACTTCAAAGCTAAATCAGATTTCGTTCACGTCCCAATCCCGGAAGTCGGACTGGAAGGTCTGTGGAAAAAATTGCAGTTAGAAGACATGCCATTCATGATATGGAATCCTTATGGAGGAATGATGAGCAAGATCTCAGAGAATGAGATCCCATTCCCACATAGAAAAGGAAACTTATTCAAAATTCAGTATTTAACATCATGGCAGGGTGGAAATAAAGATGTTGAAAAACACATAGAGTGGATCAGAGAACTTTACAACTACATGGCTCCATATGTTTCCAAGTCTCCAAGAGCTGCATATGTAAACTACAGAGATCTTGATTTAGGTATGAACAAGAAGAACAATACAAGCTTGGCCCAGGCTAGCGAGTGGGGCAATAAATATTTCAAGGACAACTTCAATAGGCTGATAAAAGTAAAGACAAAAGTTGATCCTGATAACTTTTTCAGACATGAACAGAGCATTCCACCATTGGCAGTCACTAAATCATTCAGAAAGACAACAAAGTTCAGAAAGAGCGGTAGTAACTAAGTATCAGCGCTATCTAAGTAATGTAGAAGAGATAATGAGGTTTTAAGTACTTACTGCTGTAGTAGACTGAACAATAGTCCTTCATCTTCTTTCCTTTTCGTGTCAAACTGCAGGTCAGTGTGTGCTTTGACAACTTACAATTATGTTTTACCTATAAGTGACGAGCGTCATGACACGATATCAATGTGGCATGGCTCAACATTTTGGATGTTGCAGAGCAAACTCGCACGTTTATCACTTTAGAGTGTTTTGTCTCTACAAACCTCAACCGTTCATTGAAACATTAATGAGTCATCTGAACTCTGATACATCAATAACTCCTATCTGCTCATAACACCAAGCACTGAACTAAATTGAATTAATTTCTAAGACTAACAAATAACTTGACTTGTATATTCAAGACCAACTGTAAGTACTTAAAAATTAACTCAGAAACCTACAGATCTTCTGGGGCCATTCAAAGAAATCGGTTGAAAGTTGTTCGCCGGTGACTGTATGAAGGTCCCATTGGTTGGTTGCTCATTTGTGTTCCTCCATTTGTGTAACATTGTCTATAAGTTTCAAAAAAGTGCAAACTGGATGGATCAGCAGGTACCAACAGATTACGCCTAATCTGCACAATAATATCTGGGACAGTAATAATAACTGTTGATACTATTGATCTCAAAAGTACACGTCAATTACCGCTAAGCTAGGAAAACTTTGACAAATAAAATATACCTTTTAGATACAACTCAACCACTATTGATTTCCTTGTTTCTTTGTCACTTGAATAGTAAGAGTATATGACCACAAATCTGACCGAAGACTACATGAGTACAAGTCGAACGCGAAATTTTCTGAAACTGGAAATTACCATGATAATGTACAAAACTCGATTCATATCCACACGTAAATACAGTACATAAAATTATATGTACCCTCCCCCTCTTAAAATGTAAAAGAAAACTAGACTAAGCTACCGATATGCACAGATCCTCAATTTCCCTAAATATCTATCTACAGGTAGTTGAATCCTCAAAAATTGGTTGTGATTGCTCTTACTTGTCCATGCCTGAAAAATAGGTCGCAGCTTCAGTGGTTTAAGGTTGCATCGTTAAAGGAAATCAAATATCAGCTCACACTGCAAACAGCAACTTGTAAAGTGTTGCAAGACAACTCCTTCTGTTTCGGGCTTAAGAAAGAAAACCACGTCTTTATTAAGTTAACCTCAACGTATGGATTCGATGAGGCTGGATAGCTTACTTTATCTTGAATGATTGTTTCAAACTCAAAAGGGAGAAGACCTAACAAGGCAGAAACAATAGCAATTTGAACACAAAGACCAGATTTAATGGTAGTGTCCAGGTAAAGAAAGGCTGATAAATTAGATCTCAAGATCTTAACTCCTCCATCTTCAAAGCCTCCAGCAGCCACACCAAACCTACAATTAAAAATTGAAAATTAATATAACCGGATGGTGAAGAGTCTAGAAATATAGGTGTAAGCTAGGTAGCTGAAATATTAGTTATTCAGCCCACACACACCTAAAGTTTAACACTCGCTGACAGAGGCCTATGCCAGCTAATAAGCTTCCTTATGGTGCACAAGTTTCATTTCTAATATATTTAGAGCAAGATTTAGCATTAGAAATGAGAAAATTTATTTGCAGTGTTTTACCTCCCAAGTTGACCCAGAAGAATCACAAATGGAAGACTCTCCTTAACTGATGACTTCAAAAATTCCAGCAGCTGAGAGATAATGTTAGCGAATGTCCAATTCCAGCCCTGCAATTGAAAATCAAACCAGAAGCAATCTCAGTTTCGGATCTCTCAAGATAAACAGCATCATGTTCCAGATCTCTCGAGATTAATATCAATTATCAAATAATGAAATGGACATTTACAAGAATTGCAGGTATAGGAAAGCAATCCACTTCCATGGCTCAAAAGATTGTTTTTTAAGGTTTCTAAAATTACAAATGAACCTTAAATGAGGTTGGTACAATTATAAATTGAAAATGATACATATACCTAACAGAATAGTAACTAAAAAAACAACTCTCAAAAAGATGTTTGTGCATGTGTGTACCACAAGAAAGAGAGAGAGGGGGGGGGGGGGGGGGGG